TGACTTTGAAATTTGACCAACCAAACCTTCAATTTCACCTAGAATTTTTGTTTCTTGGAATCTTCTTTTCTGTCCAGGTTAAAGCACACGCTCATTTCTTTTTCCATTTTATTTCTCGCACGATTCTCCCATCATTAGATTAGAAATTTTGTTTGTTTTTCAAAAAATGTCCAACATGCCTGATCGCTTAAATTCAATGGCTGCTCAAAAATTGGCTGATGCTGCAGCCAACTAATGCAGCGAAATTCGAACGAAAATTCTTAGTTACGATTTTCAAAAGAAAATTTGTTTGGAATTCAACCCATGGCCTGCATTTTTCAAACCAGTTTTGGTGAGTTTAACAGAGTTTAGCAGCATTTGATGTTTGAGAGTTTATTTATTTCATTGGCCAGAATTGTATGTATTCTGGGCTTTGAAATGAATAAATGCTGAAATGCTGAATGGGGGGTCCATGCACATATGGGGGAATGAATTACCTAGCGTTTAGGTGAATTTAGGCGCATTTAGATGCGTTTATGCACATTTGGCGTTTTAAATGCCGGTTAGCTCTTGTTCTGAACGCAGTTTTTGTGCTTTTAGGGAAATGCCAGTAAACTCAGCTGCCTGTAAAACTCCTCTAAATGATTATGCATATACGGACACATAGAATAATGCAGAGGAGAGTTCAGGGGCTTCAGAACAAACACCCAACTGCTTCTAAACATCAGTTTAGCAGCTGCAGTGTACATGAGGCCTTAAAGTGTTACTAAACCCACAACAGTAAAATCAGCCTGTATATGCAGTAAAGCATGCTGGTTATACTCCCTATGAAACCTAAGGGGTTAATCATCTGCATTGTGTAAAAAAGCTGTTCGATCCTGAGTTATCTGATCCTCCTCTTCTTCAGGTGCTCCCCTTTTATCTCCTGACATCGTGTAGAGTCACTCTGTACATGCTCAGTTTGGTGTGCATTGCTAGAGTTTTTTTTTATCTTGGGAGAGTGCATGTGATCAGCAAAGGGCCAATCAGCAATGTCCAGACAGAGGTCAGGGGTTCTGCATCCTCCTAGAGTAAAATGAAAACTCCTCCTTCAAGCTTTAACATGTGCTCAGCTGGACACTAATAGAAGTCACAAAACTGCTCTAACTGCTGATGAGAAAAGGTATTTAGCAGTTTTAATGTACTAAAATAATAGCATTTCCATGTTCTGTGTACTAAGGGAGACTGGATAGAGTGAATGCAGGGTCCTGGGTTTAGGGACATTTTAACACTTTATAATCAGTTACAGCAAAACATGTTTTTTCCCTTTGGGATTAAGGTTTCACATAAATAAATAAATGCTTACCATTGTAAGCACCCCTGTCAGTGCCAAATCGTTAGTCCCATACCTGTAAACTGATACGTCTGGAAGAGATCTTGTTCTTTTGGCTGGAATACCAAATTAAAATAGAAGAAAGTCTAAGAAAGAAAACCAATCACATCTAAGAATTGGTAAGAACACTATATTAAATATTTTTGTTTGGGTTTAATACCGCTTTAAGACCCCGGTCACACTGGATGCAAATTGGCATGCGATTTGCATTCCATGCAACTTGCAAATTGCATGCCAAATCGCAGCCTATTGTCCGCAATGAGAGCGGTCATATCGGTGAAGTTCCGACTTGGTCAGTCACACTGATTTCGAAAGTAGTACATGCACTACTTTTGGTGCGATTTGCATAGACATCTGTATCACACGCCTTGCAAATCGCAAATGAAATAGGCAGGTCATCTGAGTTTGAAATCGTGTGACTTCACTGTAAGTCGCACGGTTTCAAAGTAGGGTTTGATGTGACCGGGGTGTAAAGAGGAACTATGGCCATTGATTAAAAAAAAATAAACAAATAGCTGCTGACACCAGTCCAGGAATCCAGCACTCTTTTTACCCTGGCCGGTCCGTTTTTACATCCCCAGCACCGCCATCTTGACTGTGGGAAGCCAGCTGTGACTTCCTGCTGCTTCACGGCCAGCTCCCTAATGCGCATGCTTTGGGTGGGAAAGGGAGAGATGGAAATGTCCGCAATTCTCGCCTAGGCAAAAATTGCGGTAGTTGGGGGCCGTTACCTTTCAGAAAAAAAGGCACCCACTCCGAGAAAAGTTTTTAAAAAATGCCAATAATGGTGGGGGTGGGGGGTTGAGGAAGATTAGCTGAACTTACACTTGTAAGTGAAGTTCTGCTTAAAATGCTGCGTATTAACCCTAAAAACAAAAAGGTATTATATTGTAGCTTACCAAGATGTGAGGCAGCATTTGCTTTTCTTTTCTTCCCTTTTATTTTCACCTCGTGATCCTGCCAGTAATGCAGGACATACATGAGTCGAATTCTGTACTAATTTTCTTTAGAAAATCGGAATGTTTGTGCAGTTTGTAATCTGATGGTGCCACCATTGATTTTGAAATTCAACCAACCAAGGCTTCAATTTCATCTCATGTTGCTACAGAAAAGAATTTTCATGGCTAGGAATCTTTTCTTTCTAGGTCAAAGCTCATGCTCATTTCTTTTTTGGTTATACTGCATTTTTAGCACGATTCTCCCATCATTGACTAAATGTCAAACATGCCAATCACTCAAATTCAATGACCCCACGAAAATCGGCCGATGCAATGGCCCAATAATGATGCAAAACACAAAAGAAATTTCTTAGTTACAATATTCGAATGCATAAGTCTATTCTATTTCAATTTAAAAAGAACAAGCTGTCCAGCAAAAGTGGCAGTTAGAGTGTTGAGACAAACCATTTTCCACTGATAGAGGTGCTTACAAAAATCTGATTTTATTAATTTATGTAAAACATAAAAGGAAAAAGAAAACTGTCACTGTAACTGCTTAAAAAGTGTTAGCTGAAGTTTGACTTTAATTTAATAGTTGAGTTTATTTAAATATGCTAGTCTAATATTGCCCTCTCACCAGATTGACAATGCTGCTGTCCAAATGTGTCTCAGTTACCCCTCCATCCAGAGAGGAGACACCATAAGACAGGAGGTGTGTTACTGGCTGGATCACCCAGAAAAATAAAGAGAAAAAAAGCCTAAAAAAGAAAAGTAATGCAGCTACCAAATCAAAAGAATTGGTAATCTGCAATGTAATACATTTCTGTTTCTGGGTTTAATACTGCTTTAAAGCATATGTAGCCCCTAACAATGAAGGTCTCTTCTTTGCCTCCTTTTGATCTTTTAAAATTGAAATCCAGGTATGATTTTCAGCTGTCGTCATCTCCCTATATGCCCCCCCCCACAAGAGAAAAATCCCCATGTTGCTATGGGTGAACGCATTTTAATTTTTTTTCTCAAGCATAATATTTATGTGGGACAGTTTTTTTCATTAATGTTTTATTATTATAGTGTAGATGTAATTACAATTCCAGAAGCGATCCACTGAATTGTAATACAGAATTACATGCATGAGTAACAAGTACATCATACAATCCAATTTAACACCATGAAATAACTCACAGCTAGATAAATCTCGAGAAGGAATTGTAGAGATTCATCAGCAGGACTGTAGAGGGGGATTTACTAAAACTGGAGAGCCTAAAATCTGGTGTAGCTGTGCATGGGAGCCAATCAGTTTCTGGTTCACACTGAATGTGACTTAGAAATCGCAGTACTTTACTTGAAGTAGTGAATTTTCAATGCTGCAGCTCAGTGCAATTTCAGGTGTGACTTGCCTGACATCTGTGCGACTTCATGCACAGATATCTATGCAAGTCGAACCTGAAATCACCGAAAATAGTTCAGGAACTATATTCAAAATCAGATTTGAACGTTTCCATTGCCGACAATAGGGTGCGATTTGTCCTGGAAATTTGGAACTGTCAAAGCGCCTGACAAGTTGCACCGGTGTGAACTGGGGCTTATTGTCAAAGCTTAATTGAACAAGCTGAAGTTAGAAGATGATTGGTTACTATGTACAGCTGCACCAGATTCTGTGTGTACCAGTTTTAGTAAATCTCCCCCCTTTAGAAGAGGATGTTAAGATAGGCACACCAGCCTTATTCCTTTCAAATTTCTTGCCATCGATTGCCCAACTACCATATATAACATGCTTTGGAACTTAGTTACGGAACCAAAAAGTGTTTTTCAGAAAATAGATTGTGACTCTTCCTATACCTAGTTAGGACAGTTTTTAACTGATTTGTTTGTTTATGTTTTTGAATATATTATTAATATAGTTAACTGGTGATGAAAAAAGAGCTTTTTGGTATATTTGCATAAATACACTATTTTGTCAAAAGTATTGGGACTCCTGCCTTTACACACACATGAACTTTAATGGCATCCCAGTCTTAGTCCATCGGGTTCAATATTGAGTTGGCCCCGCCCTTTGCAGCTATAACAGCTTCAACTCTTCTGGGAAGGCTGTCCACAAGGTTTAGGAATGTGTCTATGGGAATGTCTGACCATTCTTCCAGAAGTGCATTTGTGAGGTCAGGCATTGATGTCGGACGAGAAGGCCTGGCTCTCATTCTCTGCTCTAATTCATCCCAAAGGTGTTCTATCGGGTTGAGGTCAGGACTCTGTGCAGGCCAGTCAAGCTCCTCCACCCCAAACTCATTCATCCATGTCTTTATGGACCTTGCTTTGTGCACTGGTGTGCAGTCATGTTGGAACAGGAAGGGGTCATCCACAAACTGTTCCCACAAAGTTGGGAGCATGAAATTGTCCAAAATATCTTGGTATGCTGATGCATTAAGAGTTCCCTTCACTGGAACTAAGGGGCCAAGCCCAACCCCTGAAAAACAACCCCACGCCATGAGCCCATCGGATTGCCAGACAGAGAAGCATGATTTGTCATTCCAGAGAACATGTCTCCATTGCTCTAGAATCCAGTGGCGGTGTGCTTTGCACCACTAAATCCAATGCTTTGTATTGCACTTGGTGATGTAAGGCTTGGATGCAGCTGCTCGGCCATGGAAACCTATTCCATGAACCTCTCTATGCACTGTTGTTGTGCTAATCTGAAGGCCACATGAAGTTTGGAGATTAACTCTGCAGACAGTTGGCGACTTCTGCGCACTGTGCTCTTCAGCATGTGCTGACCGCACTCTGTCAGTTTATGTGGCCTACTACTTTGTGGCTGAGTTGCTGTTGTTTCCACTTTGTTATAATACCACTAACAGTTGACCGTGGAATATTTAGTAGCAAGGAAATGTCACGGATGGACTTATTGCACAGATGACAACCTATCACGGTACCACGCTTGAATTCACTGAGCTCCCGAGAGTGACCCATTCTTTCACAAATGTTTGTAGAAGCAGTCTGCATGCCTAGGTGATGATTGTATACACCTGTGGCCATGGAGGTGATTGGAACACTTGAATCCAATGATTTGGATAGGTTTCCCTATACTTTTGGCAATATAGTGTAAGTATATATTTTTTTTTCTACTTTCTACCATCCTCTGACATCAACAAGACATTTTGGCCCACATAACTGCTGCTCACTGGATATTTTCTCTTTTTCAAACCATTCTCTGTAAACCCTAGGGATGGTTGTGCATGAAACTCCCAGTAGATCAGCAGTTTTTTAAATACTCAGACCAGTCTGTCTGGCACCAACAACCATGCCACATTCACATTCAAACTGATCAGTTTAGAGTCGAGATAATCTACCTCAGTACAAAAGAAAAAAACAAACAACCGTGTACCTCTAGTAACCACATACAACCCAGCACTAGAAGGGATAAGAAAAAATAATCAAAGATTTACAACCCATCATAACAGAGGATGGAACTCTGAAAGAATTATTCCAGCAACCCCCAATACTGGCCTTCAGACAACCCCCCAACCTCAGAAATAAACTAATCAGTAGCAAACTTCCTTCTGATTATGATGTCACAAATAATGGAAGCAAACCCTGCAATAAGAAACGCTGCAAGCTGTGCAACCAAATCAATCCATCAAAAAGTGTCAGACACTCAAAAGGGATCTTTAATATCTCCAGATCATACAGCTGCACCTCCAGTAATGTTGTGTACCTTATCCAGTGCAGAAAATGTAGCAAAGGATCTTATGTTGGCGAAACAGGACAGAAGTTGCAAACAAGGATGAATTTGCACAGACATACCATCAAGGAACATAAAGAAGATGACCTCTGCACACCTGTAGGGCACCATTTCACACAACCAGGCCACACAATGGGAGACCTCAATGTTTTAGTTCTGAAAGGAAAATTCAAATCCATTCAGGAAAGAAAAACTTTTGAACTAAGAATGATAATTCTATTTGACACAAGAGATAACGGCCTTAACTTGGACATGGGATGCCTCACTCATTATCCAACAGTTTTATGACTATTAGCTAGCTTGACCCCCTCTGTGTGAGTGTAGTATCCCCCCCTCCCCCCCTCCTTTTGCTGTATCTTATCTGTAGCCTTTTTTTTTTTTTCATCCCTTCTAACAGTCTGCTTAAATTTTGTGATTTGTAATAGTACTGCTTGGACTTTGAAGAAGGGGACACTCCCCGAAAGCTTGTCCTCAAAATTGTATGTTAGTGCAAATACAAAAATTATCACGGACAGTACTCAATTGTTTCTGTCGCAAATGCACTAATACGCTACAATCTCCTCAAGCAAAATGGAAGATTTCTTGATGTAAAAAATGTTCCTTGTAGATTATGCTGTATGTGTTAATGGTGTTCTAGAGAGGTGCATTGAAAGTCCCATTGGGCTTACTGCCCTCCCTTTTTAGGATAGGTTTTTATTCAATAGGTAATGGGGAAACCAAGGGGCAGTCAAAACTTCCTCCTGCCTGTTCGGAAATTTCAAGCAGCTGTCACAAAACATGATGTGTACTGCTCATTACCAATTAGTCCTTGTCATCTGTCAATCAGACAGTAGCATTCTTTTGCTTTACGCAGAAATGAACATGTACATTCACATCAGTCCCTGCCCTCAAGGAGCTTACAGTCTAAGGTCCCTATATCATATACACCCACTAGGGCCAATTTTGCCGCCAACCATTCAGCCTACCAGCATTTCTTTGGAGGGAAGCTCAGTTACCCAGAGGAAACCCACAAAAGGAAACCAGGAAAGACCATGCAGTGTTCTGCTAGGGGTTCTTACTGGGGTTCCCTGTGCGTAAATGCTAGCCTTTAAGTCACTGCACTCTTAGGGGTGCAATCAAACTGGCAGTTTTACCCATTCATGGGCACAGTTCACCCCTTGGTCCACTTAGTTTATGTAGTGTGAGTGCTCTGAATCGTGCCCAGGAATGTATCATGCTTGGGACCACTTGGAAGAGGTGGTCTCAGGCACGGTTCACTTGTGGTCCATTACTGTTCACTTTAGTGTGAGTTCAAACTGTTCCTGAGCACAAAACTCTCCGCAGATCACTGAGCACAGAAGGAGGGATCACTGTGGTCGATTTGGCAAAGGCCATGATGTATTTGTGGAAAGGAACATTTGCTTATAGCCTGTGAGAAGGCCAGCAGGAGAGTTGGGAGGAGAGACAATCAGCACAAACTTGGGTATGGTTCACTTCAATCGTGTCCAGTGTGAGTGCATCTTGGCACAAGAACAGTTGCCCCCATTGGAAGATTTACAATCACCTTTTGTCTGCTGATATCCGTTTGGATTTCACATGATTTTCTTTCTCTATGATAATGGGGACCAAGACAAATAGGGTAATGCTGTTGCGATGCATTCCCAAAAATAGGTCAGGTGTGATTTTAGTCATGTTGGGATTGGCAGGCCATTCAAAATACCTGTAAAAAGAGGGCGCAGTGCTAAGGATAATACAATTACCTCTGATATATAAACATATAGCAATCAATGTAAAAATATGTGACTATCTTGTGCTAAAACAACGTGCCAAAGAAGTCCTTAAAAGTAACAAAATGGTGATTCAAAACGTGCGTCTTCCGGTGATCAAAATTAATTGAATCATGCACTCACCAGATGCATAATTCAAATATGCATGTAGATAATATCCAGATATCCAAGCGAAGTTATCTTAAAGTCTAATATGGCATCATAAGATCACCGTCTAGGCACATCTGTCCGTCCGAGTTCTCCTTATGGATCGTGTGTTTCCACACGGGTCAGTGTGGAGGAGAGATGAGTATCTCGTGAAACGCCGGCACTCCGCTGTCTGAGCCAGACAGACCGCCTCTCCCCGCTGGGTGCAGCTCCCCTAACAGCCGGACACTGCGACCCTCACCCGGAGCGGTACATACCCAGAGCCGGGACACCGGAAACCCGCACCTCGGAGCGGCGGCCGCAGAATCCCTCTGAAGCTGGAATCACATCGCCGGTGTAGGATGGAGACGGTGATCGGACCCTGTTGAGTCCACCACCCGCAGAGCCACCTGGGAAGAGAGCTGAGAGGTGTTTCAGTGTGGAAACACACGATCCATAAGGAGAACTCGGACGGACAGATGTGCCTAGACGGTAATCTTATGATGCCATTCAAGACGCACGTTTTGAATCATCATTTTGTTACTTTTAAGGACTTCTTTGGCACGTTGTTTTAGCACAAGATAGTCACATATTTTTACATTGATTGCTATATGTTTATATATCAGAGGTAATTGTATTATCCTTAGCGCTGCGCCCTCTTTTTACATGTTCCCTGTAGGTTTATTGGTACCTTTTGGCGTACAGCAGCTTTTTATCTAGCGCTCACTTCCATTTTTCTTTCATTCAAAATACTTGTACAAAAAATGGCTACTGCCCCTGTCAATAACTGGCCTTCACAGCAAGGATCATATGGAAGGGTGACGCATGTCAAACAACAAAAGAGAAAAATTCCCAGCTCAGCTTGCCAAGCAGCCTGCAAACAAACTGAATTAACCTGTCTAACAGTATGCGTTAAAAAGGGGTTTAGTTAGCACACATTTGCAAATACATGTGTAAGCTACAGAGCCTCGTTACGACACCATATTCTTTAGTTCCTAACTCTACAAATTTTGAGAGCCCCCATAGTAGAAGCACATGTATTTAATGGATAGACCAAGGGCAGGTGAACCTGAGGGAGCCCACCTCTCCTTAAAGGTATAGGAGCGCACTGTACACCCAGCATGTAGCACAATGGCAGCTAAGGTTTCCAGTGCGCCCCCCTCACCAACAAGTCAACAGTACAAAAATGGCCACTGCCCCGGTCTATAACTGGCCTTCACAGCAAGGAACACATGGTAAGGCGACGCATGTCAAACTACAAAAGAGAAAAATTCCTAGCTCAGCTTGCCAACCAGTCTGCAAACAAACCGAATTAACCTGTCTAACAGTATGCATTAAAAACAGGGGTTTAGTTAGCACACATTTGCAAATACATACGTAAGCTACAGAGCCTCATCATGGCATCTTGATATTCTTCAGTTCAAAAAAAACTGTACTGCCTTAACACAATGCATGTTAATGCTTGATATAATATGCATCAGCATGCATGTGGAACTGCACAATAAAAAGCAGTAGTAAACTCTTTAAAGCGGAACTTTGCCTTACCTGCCTAATTGTTTCCTAATTTTTTTCCCCCCTGCCTACCTGTAGCAGTTTTCTGCTCAGAAAGGATACTCACCCACCCAGTAGATCCAGCATTGTCCCCTTGTGATCCCTTTTCTGCAGCCGACACTCAAGTCCTGTGCCGCTATCTTCTTCCAGGATCTCAGCGGAAGGCACAGGCACTCCTCCTGATGATGTGCACTAGGCCACCCCCTCCTGGTTTAGTTGCTTCTGTTGCCTCTCGGGATATCCACGTCAAAAATCTCAAGAGGCACTAGGTGGTGCTGATGTCATTCGCCTAGGCAAATGACAGAAGAGGGGTCAGAAATAAATACCTTTTTTATAAAAAGGTAAACAAGCAAAATGAGTGAGGAAAAAACAAAAATGGATAGCTGCGCAGTGGAGGGGGAGCAGGATGGAGAGGAGGAAGTTTAATAGCAAGGGTAAAGTTCCACTTCAATTATTATTTTTTTTTTTGTAGGTCCTGCAGGTGGTTTATGCCAGGACTTAAAATTTCAAGTCCTGAGCTACTAGCCAGGCCTTAAGAGTTACTCGCCACCAGTTGCCCCACCCAACCCCTACCCTGCTATACCCCTAATTCCGCCCCTAAACATGCCCTCGTAAATGATTTCATGAAATGATACTTAAATGTTACCCACATTACATCAGGGTCCAAAGAGTCCCCCCACATTACATCAGGGCCTCCAATGTCCTCCTAAACACTCCATCATACTTAGATCATGTACCGCATACAACCATAACCTCCCATAATCTTTCACTCACAAAACCATAACTCTACCAAGCATATCCTACCTACTATCCAAGCCAGCAAT